TGTGTGTGTGTGTGTGTGTGTGTGTGTGTGTGTGTATCTTTGTCTGTCCGAGTATTTCAGCTTAGCAACCAACTAAGCCTCGGCGCCTAAATCTTGCAAGTGGGTCCTAACCGGCCAAGTGCAACCCTGGGGTCGCAGTATCAACCTTCATATACGTCTGATCCCCGCGCACGAGCACGCAAAAGTCCTGGCCGTTAAAATGTCAATTCCGGAATCAGAAAAATTGGGAGGTTAAATTTTGAGGGAATGTCCTGCGTCCACATAGAACTTAAAGATTTAAAATTCGGCACCGAGGTGTGCGTGTTCCTCATGTACGGGCCAGTGAAAATTTTTGGCGGGAAATTTGCTACCTCGGGAACCAGAGAAGCTAAACGGCTGAAATTTTGAGGGGATCTTCTCCGCTTTGGTAGGACTAAAAGATTTTAAATTCAGCACCCGAGTAAGCGTGGTACTTACGTATGGGCGCGTAAAGTTCTCTGACCTGTTAATCAGCAGCGAAATACTTCGCAAGCCCTCTCATTCCCTACCGCAAATTGCATTGTATTTTCATCGTTTTCTCATTCTCATCTTCTGTTCCACTACAGCGGTGTAAAAGAGAGAGTGTCAGTGAGTGAGAAAGTGATAGAAATATGACGCGATCTGTGACAGAGATTGAGAGGACATTCTTTCACTTATGCAGTGCATTACTGGAGGAGGAACAAAGATTGAAAAGGCTACTGAAACAGACTTCAGTAATAGCCAATAACAACTCCTTAAATAGCGTAAATTTTGCTCTATTCCTAAAATAACTCAGCATCTTCTAATAGTAAATGAATATTTTCACGATGCTATTAAAGGAACCTGAGGAGATGCTGACCTTAACATACTGTATATTACCGAGTAGCAGTACTGCCGATATCACAGAAAACATATTCTGCTGGGATTGATACGAGAAGCCGACCGCATCCATGGCATGCTTCAGACGCTCATACTCGTATTGCTCATTGACCCCCTCAGCTGCGCAAAAATTATTCTGAAATTTTCCTAAATTTGTTACTTCAGAATTTCAAGCCCAGCGCATTCCTTTGTTAGAGTTACTTTCATATTTTCATTATTTCGTAGCGTGCCTTTCTAGCTAGGTAGCTGACGAACTTTTTCCAGTTGCTTTGACCAATGCTGCAACATCTGCTAATTAGTCTGCTGGCAACTCTGACATTCGTTAGATCTCTTGCACGGGTTAATAATTCAACAAGTACTTGGCAAAAATAGGAAGAGCAGTGATTATTCTCCACTGAAAAAATATTCTAAACTTTTGCGCTCTTATCTTTCTGCAAAAAGTATAATAGTAAGTGATGAGTTTCACACCAGCATTCGCCATCTGAAAAGAAATGAGGGTCTTCTCCACCAGAGAAGCTGAACTTGTACCGTGAAAAAATGGAATCAGCTGAAGAGGATGTGCACTCAGATTCTGCTTAAATGGTACTTCACGATTCACAGTGAAGAATATGTTTATGTTTCTGATATTAGTGCAGTTTCAGGTTTCTAGGTTCAAACAACAGATTCCCTAAGCCTAAGTATGATAGTTTCGCATAATTTGACTCGAAATCTTGTTTTAGCTCAGATCTCAGCGAGTCAAGACAGTGCGGAAGCTCGGCACTATTCTAACCTAAGTTCCTGGATTTTACTGAATAGCTTTTCGGGAACAATCAAATTGACGGATTCTGGTAAGAATCTCTTTTGCAAACCTTATTGAGGTAGTTGTAATCGGTGGGTTGCAACAAGAAATGTTTTGTGCGCTCCTCTTCTGTCGCTCCGTTCAGCAGATAATAAAACACATGGTAATTCCTACAAGAAATGATAACATTATTTCTTAACATGATATTAACGGTAATAACGATGATGACGGACATAATAATATAGACGTAATTATGATTATAATTATAATGACACCATCAATTATAATATCAGCAATAATAATAACTAGAAAATTAATGATAATCAAACTGAGAAAAAAGAATTGCCAGACATGACAGCGACAAAAAAAAAAAAATTAAACGTAAGTGATTATTAAATTCAAGGTGCGATTCAGAGATATACATTCGCCCACCTAGACTACATGTTAGATTCGGACTTTGCAAGCAGTTATTAAAAGAAAATTTACCGTTCATCAACCGCCTGCGAAATGATCCGCGATTTTTCAAGCAAATAAATTTCGACATTTGCTCTGAAACGTATAAAAAAAAATTACTTTGCTGTTTCGATCAAAAAATAAGAATTAACAGAGAAAATTACACGGCAAGGCTTATGCGTGCCAGCGGCTGTCTGACCATAAATCGTGAACACGCACATATTGTAATTTCACGAAGCCTTTTTTTGTTGCAGTCAGCAAGGATCAAAATCCAAAGTCTTGAAACACAAATTTCGAATAAAATTCATTTTTTTCGCCTTTATATAATATCTCAAATTTATCAAAATATCTGAATTTTGAGATCAAGAACCAAATCAGCAATTTTTGGATTGAAATAGTGCTAAAGTGGTATAGCAGTAACTGTCATCTGTAGGTCGACAGAGGAATGAAAATTGAAACGAAGGGATAAATCGGAGAATACCAGAAATCCAAGTTTTTGCGCAAACTAAGTACAAGCACTGCCATTACATCAAAATCTTGCTAAGATTGTTTAAATTGATTATTATAAATAGTAAAAAACCCCCCTTATTTAAATAAGTTGCAGATGAAAATCAGGAAAAAGGGCGAGTGAAAACTGAAAATACCACCGCCATTTCATTTTGATAAACTAGTTAACTGTGTGATGATAATTAAACATACCCCGAAACCATTCCGTTTTCTCGATAATTCACTTTGATGAATTTACCAAACCTACTGCTGTTATTATTCTGCACCGTAACGGCATTTCCAAATGCCTAAATATTATCCACAATCAGTTTAAATTCCTAAACTTTTTGCATCCTCCATCTAACTTTGGTAACATATTCATCATTTCATTTTTCTAGTAATCGACAGATGATGCACATACTTCGAACAGGTGGTGGGTACCGATTGGAGGTATGCGTCCCAGGATAAAAGAGCGAGTAAGGGTGAAGGGCCTCATTTAGTTACACCTGACGTGGAGATGAATCCCAGTAACATCACTAACGTAGAACATTCACGCTGTCACAGTAGAACAATCAGTCCCTCTACGATTCACTCATTCGTTTCAGTAGTAAATTGGTACTATCATTTAAATGGCCTTGCTATACTGCGGCGTCGGACGAAAGCGAGGAGAATCAGCGGACCATGTGACGCTTTCTGTAGGGTTGGCAGTACGACAGGGTGCCTGGGGAGAGGAATCTGATACAACCAATCGTGTTTAGAGTGCGACTTTAGTCAGACACTACTGGGGCGACCGACTGAGTAAATCTGATGGGCAAGACAATTCCATCAACTGTCAAGAGCTAGTTTGAAGATTTTATCATTAGATATCAGTAAGCAAGCGTTTTTGTATCAAATACCTTTTCCTAATATGTTTGTTTTTCCAAAAATGCAAATTTTACGAAGATGCAACCTCGAGGACAGGCCCTGCAGAGAGGAGGGTTTGCTCGACGGAGCTACCAGCTGATGAACCCTTCTGACTGAGCGTTGTCAGGTGATGTAGCAGGAAATTCGTTGATTCGGTCTTGCCAGAACCCGACTCTCCGCTTATCACGACACACTGGTTTTCCTTGATGCGTAACATGCTGCAAGAAATCGATGCAGAATTTTATAACTGTAATCTAATCTTCTATCACATTCTGGAAACGCAGTATTTTCTTTCCACTGATAATTTCCAGAATCACGGAAAAAGAAAGAAAAGACAAGCATATTTTTCCGACCGGCGAATCATAATTTAGCAATAATAAAATAGTAATAGTAATAACGATAAACTGCAATATTTACGACTATGACACTAGTAGTAAGAGTAACAATAAAACCAATTAAACCTATGATATGTGATGTCAGCAATGGCGAAAATATGTGGCGGTAAGGAGCCAAGCTGTCGACTCTGGCAATAAAGCCGAGCGTATTTTGGATTATAGATGGGGAAGAAATTGAACGGATTCACCGCAACCAGTATCGGTCCTGAAAAAATTACATCATTAATTAAATATAAGTAAACTTGCTGAAGACAAAGAGCTCCAGTATCATTTACAAACAAGATCGCGGAGATTTTTTAAAGAATAATATGACAGAAAGCCCCAATAGCAAACCGGAATTTTTTTCGAAACTAACTTCGATATTTTGGTCAGCTGCAGTTCACAGTGTTATTGTCCAAATTTGCGGCTGATATTGTTTCATGCACCTTTCCTCTTCTTGAGTTCCTCTAACTGGTTTGCCCGCAAAATAAAAATAACAAATAGTTTTTTACCGATGTAAGTGTAGATGTGACCACTCGCAAAGCGGTCACGCAGGTTATCGAGCAGTGTCTGCTCGGTGAGCTCGGGTAGCATACACAAATCGGCATATTCACGATCCTGAAACAAGAGCGTGTTAAGCTCACATGATATCCTTCTCTCAGAGACCTCATACACAAAAGTGTTTTTAGGTGAGAAGGCTTCAATGGCCTTAAGTTAAGCAAGGGAGTGAAACCTAGAAGTTTTTAGCAGGCTACAAAAAACAGTTTCTTCTGGAGGTGCTTAGGCGGCACTCGCTAACAATAACATGGTTAATAGGCAAGCAAGTCAGTATATAAAATTCTGCATCGATTTCTTGCAGCATGTTACGCATCAAGGAAAACCAGTGCGTCGTGATAAGCGGAGAATCGGGTTCTGGCAAGACCGAATCAACGAACTTCCTGCTACATCACCTGACAACGCTCAGTCAGAAGGGGTCATCAGCTGGTAGCTCCGTCGAGCAAACCCTCCTCTCTGCAGGACCCGTTCTCGAGGTTGTTTTGGAGTACGAAGAAATATCTTGATGAAACTAGGTGAAGCTAAAGTTAAAGTACTTTTGCTGAGTAACAAAATGAGGATCATGAAAATAAAATTGATGAAACCTGAGGTTGCGTCAGGAACTTAGCAAGGAACGAATCGATTCTGGATGCTTCAGTAGAGCCAAGATGCACACCACCAGATAATGGCGACGAACCTTTGTGCCTAGAACGAAATTACAGAATTCTCAAATAATTTAATTTGCTCACAGCGAAATGCATAGGAATGCTAGAGATATGGAGAAGACTTACACTTTGAAGTTCTAAGGCGGGATTATGCCTACAATCAGTCAAAGACAACCAAGATCGCTCGGGTAATCAGCGTGTGGCAATCCTTGAGGTTAATGAGGTGTACCCCACACCAGGCCCTTGGCATATTTCAACACGCATTTCAAAATTAATGCGCCAGTTAGTTGCCCATCATCTACATATATGCGCTAACTCTTCAGAGACAGTCCGGATGATCGTTACATTGTCGCAGCTACCATTTACTAATGTGTGATGTTCATCATTTACCAACAGAGCGAGCAACACATTCTGCTCATTGGATTTTACTTTCTTGCGTAGTCGCACCAGCGGCGGGCAGGTAATTCGGAGGAAAACCATGCTATTTAGGCGTG